GGGCTGTGGTCACACTGGGGAGGAAGGGGGGGCTGTGGTCACACTGGGGAGGAAGGGGGGCTGTGGTCACGCTGCTTCGCCCCACCCAGAGGCTCTCTTCCAGCCATTCCCCTCTTCTTAAGGGGCAAAGGGACGGCTTCAAGCCAGTTATATGAAGACACTCCATCACTCACGTGAGCTCCGGACACAACACAACAGTTGCTCTGAGGGAGTTCCCAGCCCAGGCAGGGTCAAACTGAGTCCTGTCGGCCGAGCCCAGGACCTTCCCTCAGTCTGGGCGTGAGAATATCCGCTCCTCACCTCCTCAAGTCAGGTGGGGTCAATAGGCAAGAACGCTTGAAATGATTTTGCATTTCAGTGGACCTTGAGAGCCTATTTGGATGTTCTAGCAGGGGTGTGTCCTCCTCTTTGACCAACAGCTTAGTGCAAACAAAGCCTTGAGGGAGGAAGAGGACACCCACCTGGCCAGCCAGATCAGCTGAATCAACACTGGTGATCAATGTGCAGTCAGATCTCCCTCACACCCTAATTTTGCATTTTAGAAAGAATCCTAAGACTGGAGTTGAAGAGATAGCTCAGTGGTTAAGAAGAGCACCTGCTGCTACTCCAAAGGACCTGAGTTCCATTCCCAGCACCCACATCAAGCAGCTCAGAACCGCCTGTAACTCCAGCTGTGGGCTGGGGAGGGACGTCTGAGTCCCTCCTACAGCCTCCACCACCAACACACACACACACACACACACACACACACACACACACACACACACACACACGGCAAATAACCAAATAAATATTTAAAAGCATTTCTAAAAATCCAAAGACTTATGTGGGCATTTTCTGCTGTGACAAGCAGAATCCACATGACCCTGGTGTCCAGGCAGCCCCAGGGGTACATCCACTCCTCCCCATCCTGTGTCCTCTGTTCAGCTTCAGCCCAGACTCTTGGAACATTTCCCCTCACCTGAGTCTTTCTGGAAACAGCTAGGAAAGCAGTCTCAGGTGAATACCCCACATTCCCCTGCAGAGCTCTGCTAGCCAGGGCCACAGACAGGAAGAGTTGGATGGGCACCGTTGGAGAAATAACTACTCCCTGCTACTTGTGTCACGGTAAGACTCGCAGGACTTGAATGACAGTCACCTCCTCACACAGTGGGCTTAGCTTCTGGCCCACTCTCTTCCCCACTGGCTGCTCAGCTCTCCAGATCTTAACCCAGGTCCATTTTCTCTCCCCTGCACTCAACTACCTTCAGCAAAAAGCCCAGCAGAACCTCCTCAAAGGGGAAATGGCCCAGGCCCAGGCTGGACACCAAGGAGGTGCCGGGGCCACCAGCTAGGAAAATGAATGCTAGGGACCCGAGCCCCCATAAAAAAGGAAAAAAGAATAGCTGCCAGTTATTCAAAGCTTCAGCCAGGAATAGAAACACTTGAGCTTGCCTGGAATCGCTGCCGCCAATCCCATCCCCACCTTCCAGCTTAACTGACAGCTCATCATTCCCTGCATTAAAATTTCAAACTCCTTTATTTCGTTTCTCATCACATTCATCTCAGCACTGCCCGTGAATCTTCAACTACCTCCTTACATAACACTTCTGCACAAGGTAAATAAGGAAGTGCATTGCTCTGAAACGCACATCCAGGTTCCGTACCTGCATGGCGCGGCCCAGCCCTTTCTCAAGCCTCCTGCCTAGGCTGGATCTTTTCCTGAATATGTGGTTTAACTGCTCCCTCTTCTTCTTCCAGGAAGCCCTTCCCAGCCATCTCCCCACCAAAAGATCTGCACACTTTTACAACCCCATGGAACATTCTTTTCCCTGCACAGCTCTGGCAAGCATCGTCTGCACTGATAGGCTGTTGACTTTCCCCCCTTGGCTCTGTCAGCCTGTGCTGTGCTCACTGTGTTAGTCATCCCAGGGTCAAGGGTCACATCTAGTGGAAACTAGAACTGGAGTACTCAATAAATACTGTTATGGTGATATGTAACGTCGGCGTGAACGGACCAGTAGAAGAGAAGGACTGGATGAAGGTCACCAAAAACAAACAAACAAAAGCCCTGTGGGACTTCCATGAAAACACTCTGCTCCTGTACCACATTCTCCAGATACATCAGCCATTTATTCTTGTTCCAATCATCATGACATCCTCATTTCTTCATCCACGAGTGGCAATTATATCTCCTTTGGTGGGTGCCTTTCAAGATTGCATATTAAAATTACCTAGACTGCATATTGTACAAATAAACTTATTAAAATACAGAGAATTTTATATTTGAAAACTCAGTATACCACTCCCAGGGATTTTAAATTTCAGTACAATTTTTTTAGGGTTGTTATTTTCTTTCTAAACACTACAGCAATCTCC